CCCCGCGCTGCCCGCGCCGGGCGTTGCCCCCGCCGGGGCCCGCGAACTGCCCCGAGCGCTCCCGCTCTTGCTCTTGCTGCCCGACCGCCGCCTCCCCGGCCGGCTGCAAGCACGAGTGTAGCCCTCCAGCCCGGAGGAGGTGTTCCCCCGCACTCCCCGGAGCGCGTCGGGGTTTCCCCATCAACCCCCGCTGCCCTCGCTTATCCCGTGTTTGTTTGTTTGCACGCCCTTCCGAAATACCTCCCTCCCTCCCTCCCGACCCGTGTCCAGTGCCGGCCCAGCCTCCTGACTCGGTGTCACTGCCCCAGGCTCTTATCGGGGTCCTGAGCACAGAAGATAGAGCGCCTTCCTTTCGCGCGGCACCTCAAGATCTTTTTAACTCCCCTCTGAGGTCTTAGGGGTGGGACGTTGGGGTGACGAGTCCTGTGGGTATAACACCGAATTAAGGCGGCATGCGGGTCAGGATCCCCTGGTGGCAGCCTGGGGTCTTGAGCAAAGGAGTCTACCCGCAGCCCCCTAGCCTCCCTGAGGCGCCCTTATCCCAGGGTGCTTCCCTGATGAGTATGGGCTTTATCTTTTCAGACAACCGCCAAATAGGGTCTGGGTAATGTGCCCTGGATTGATTAGGGCCGCGGGTGTGGGGGGGTGTTGCTTTGCCAATCGTTTGTAAATGCCAACTTCACCATCACATTCAATGCTGGTCCTAATTTCATTTGCTTATCATTTTTTCCAGACGAGTTTAGGGCAGGGACAGAGGCTGGGGCAGGAAGGCCAGAAAGATGGGATGGCTGGATGGGGTTATGGAGACCGCAGACAAGCTTCAGATTCTCAGAAAACTGGGGTCACACCCTGAGGAATAACTCTTTTGAAGGCTTCATTGTGATTCCCCGGTGTTTAGTCTGTGTATAGAAAGCCTATAAAAATGGGAAGGTTGGAAACCCACCCCGTTTACGCCTTTACTGTTGTGGAGAAAGTAGCATTTAGAGATTTTTTTTTCTGTTCTGATATTCCTTCTTTCCCCTCCTCCCATAATGTTTACTCATCACATTGGTACCTGAATCGTGAGGTTTTAATTCACCCGTATTTCAGGCGCTCATCTAGAATATTAATTTTGATCTAGAATATTAATTTTCTTAGGGTTCTTAAGCAAAACTGAGCTATTAAAAAGGCCAGCCGCCAGGCAGAATGGCTGTTTCCAGTGTGCACTGGAAACCTGGCTTGTGTCAAGCTGCCTAACACAGTTTGATTCTGAGTTTATCAAGCTTGAAATGCTGCTGGATGAGAAGACTGGGTGACTGTAAAAGCCTTTTTCCTTATTTTTAGTTGTAATCAACATATCCAGGCATCTCAGCTTGACGCCTCTCATCTGGAGTGCAGTTGTACATTGCTGATGTTTGCTTTTCTTCAAGGATTTAGAAGCTGTGTTTGACTAGCGGGGTAGCTGGTGCCCATGGCTGCTGCTGATGGGCTTGTGTCCCTTAGAACTCAGATGCTAAATTGGTTGAAGCAGGCAAGAACCATATTTGGCTGAAACTAGGGGGTGGAGAAGGTTCTGGCGCTGTTTTCTGAATACAAATACAATAGTGTCCTATTTTTGCATGACTCCGTATGTAATAGATTCACAGATGTGGTGGATCAGTTTATTTCTCCTGCAGGATATTAGCTACATAAGAAAATCTTGTTGTAACTAATGTATTTAGCACCTTAGAGGGTTTGTACCATTTGAGGCATAATTTTCCAGTCAGGTCACATGTAACTGTTAGTATATGCTCAGCAAATTTATGTAGCTTATGTACTTACAATACAAAAAAGTTGATCCAACAGTTTCAGTTTTGAGCTGTGTCTACCAGTAGCTTAAAATCCAAAGAGAAGAACACATAGAAAATACTTATCAGTGGAAGTGAACGGACAAGGTTTTGGTTATTTCATGTATTTTGTTCATTGGTAGAGTTTCCTGAATTTGTTCATTGGTAGAGTTTCCTGAATGTTGTTTCTGTACCAGCAGGTGAACAGAGAAAGAGCTACAGCTTAGAAGTTACTATAAATATTTTCCTCCAGTACTTGGAAACTTACTGGGAAGGCCCCTGTAAGTGGATGGAACAGAGGAAGTAAGGGTAATGCAAGATAGAGTTATAACGTGATGACTCATGACTCTTGGGGGGTGTGTAGAAGGAGAGAATTATTGATTTAAAAAAAAAAAAAACACCTCACTGCCAGATACTGATGTAGACACAGGGTATCACTTAGGACGAGAGGCGAGTCCTGTGAGTGGAGCTTATGTAAGCAACCATCGCCCCCTAAATACTAGTAAACTACATAGTATGTTAGGAGGTCGGCAGTGCCATGGAACAAAGTAGAGCAGGATGCAGGTTTTTGGATACAGAGTCAGGATAGGTAAGGTAATCCCCAGAGGGTGTCCAGATCATCTGCAGCAGTGATACCTTTGTGTAGTTTTTGTACAAGCACTCGGGATAAATTTGCTCTGCGTATGTGGGTCTGACTGGAACAAAGCTTTGGTTGTGTTGTAAAGTGGCCTCTTCAGATTAAGCTAAACTCCCAGATGGTAGATAGGAAAGCTTCACAGGAACCTAATTTAACTTGGAGGACTCAAATCTGTAAACAGATCCTCAGTACCTGCTGTGTGTCAGGCACTGCAATATGTGGGACTCCAGAGATAATGGACAGTATACAGATGGTACACAAAGAGTCATCCCTGACAGATGAAATGCAGTCACAGCGGCCCAGGGTTTACAGGGCAATTTGTTTTATTTAGGCTGTGGGAAGTTACAATGAAAGAAGAAAAATTTTTGAGACCAGCAATTAGCATAATGGCTATGTCACTGGACTCCCATGTAGTCGATCATGGTTTGAGTCCTGGACCCGGTGGCTTAAACTGACGCCAGGCGTGTATGTGTGCATGCCCAAGATCTGAAGAGCAGAATGGAGGAGAAGGGCGTGGGCCGTCCCTCCTTGGGGGTGATTTCTCGCTTTTTGTCTGTCTGTCTGTCTCTGTCCTATAGCAAAAACCTCTAAAAAATTTTTTTAAGCTTATTTATTAATTTTTTCCATAAGCCAGAGAGATAGACAGCATCTTAACAGGATATTGACTCTGCAATCCTCCCTGGGGGCTGTTTCCATAAGCCAGAGAGATAGACAGCATCTTTAACAGGATATTGACTCTGCAATCCACCTCCAGCTTCGGCCAGTTATAGATTGTGGCCATGGGTATACTTGTAGTTAGAGAGTCCTCCCGACCTGAACCTGGAACCTTCCCATGTGAGTCAGCCTCATGAAAGTCCTGTTTTACCGTTGTGCCACTGTCCAGTCCCAGAAGTGGGTGATATTTAGTGGAAAGTGAATGAGAGCGCTCTCAGAGGGAAAGGGAAAATGGGAGATTGCAGTTGGAGAAAACATCACTGAGGTGTGAAATTGCTGTGAACTGTCCATTTTCAGAATCTGGCAAATGGTCAAAGAATTTTAGAGCTAAATGGGCTCTATCAATAGCTTAGACTACCTTATTTTATTTTTTAGCTAACGAGACAAAATGATCAGCTTCAGGTTGCTGGTACCAGGTTTCTGGAACCCAGGTTTCATGCTTGGATTTCCCCTCCTGACATTTTATCCATCAAAAATATAGAGAAATTTAGGATAAAAACGAGTTCGTTCGTTCGTTCTTTCTTTCTTTCTTTCTTTCTTTCTTTCTTTCTTTCTTTCTTTCTTTCTTTCTTTCTTTCTTTCTTTCTTTCTTTTTTTCTTTCTTCCATTTTATTTTATTTTATTTTATTTTTTCCATAGGGTGCATGTGCTTACTTGCTGGAGAGAGACGAAGGGAAAGTGAGAAATCCACACCTAGGGTGGAAGGCTATGCCACAGTCACTTCTCCATTCTTCTCTCAGGATTTTGGGCACTCATGCACATGCACCTGGCATGATTTTCAAGCAACAGGGTTGAGGGCCTGCGGTTGGCCATGTTGGGGTCCACTGTCTTAACCACCATGCCACCTGTTGGCCCCAACAATGATTTTTTTTTTTTTTAAAGAGACATTTTTTGCTATAGGGCACATGCACTAGCTGGAGAGACAGAGAGAAACAAAGAGACAGAAAGCGAGAAATCAGCCTCCAGGGAGGATGGCCCCTCCACAGTCCCTCCTCCTCCATTTTCCTCTGGATATTGGGTACTCATGCACATGCACCTGACATGCGTTTTAAGCTGCCCAGTTTGGGACTCTATTACAGTCCACTACGTGGGAGTCTAGTAACGTAACCACTATGCCATCTGCAGGGCCTGTGTTCTCAGAAACCATTCAAGAAGTATATTGAGGGTCTAGCAGATGGCATAGTGGTGGTGGCACTGGACCCCCACGTGGTTGACTGCTGTTCGAATCTCAGACCCGGTGGCTTGAAACTCACACCGGGCACGTATGAGTGCTGTCAGTCCTGAGAGGATAGTAGAGGAGAGGTGATTTGGGTGTTGCCACCCCTTAGGGGGTGTTTTCTCCCTTTCTCTCTCTCTGTCTCTCTGGTCAGTGCACATGCCCTATGGCAAAAATGTCTTGAAAAAAAGTAGTATATTGAGATGCCAGACGGTGGCGCTGTGGTAAAATAAGACACTCTGTGAGGCAGTCCCACATGGGAAGGTTCCTTGTTTAAGTTCGGAGACCTTCCCAAGTAGCTGGGCGTGTGTACCTGCGATTTAGGGTTGGCTGAAGGCTGGTGGTGGATAGTGGTGTCAAGACCCTGTTGGGAATGGGGACAGCAGGTGGTGTAGTGGTTAAGGCACTGGACTACCCAATAACTGATCATGATTTGACTCCTGGACCTGGTGGCTTGCTTTCTCACTTTCCCGCTCTCTGTCTCCAGTGAGTGCACATACCCTATAGCGAATTAAAAATAAATAAATAATAAAATACGCATGTTTGCGCGCGCGCGCACACACACACACACACACAAATAAATTAAAAGTTAAATAATTTTTTTTTAAAGACTTGGGGTTACTGTCTGTCTGTGTCTCACTCATGCAAGAAATAAGTAAACTTCTAATAGTTTTCTAAGTATTTTTTTTGTGTACATTTGTTTCTCTAGTGAGATAGAGAGACAGAGAGACAGGTACCCTAACAGTGTCTTAACTCTGTGTTCAGCTCCACTCTCAGCTATGCAGGATCATGGGCACATATTCTCATGCCCAGTGTGCTCAGGGAGGTCCCAGATGCTGAACCCAGGGCTTTCCACGGAGCACATCACTACCTGATGTAGTTCTTTAAACTTCTAGCATTTTAAAATTGCAAATCTCTTTTTTTTTTTCTTTTTTTTATAGGGCTTGTGCGCTCGCCAGACAGACAGAGACATAGAGACAGAAAGCGAGAAATCACCCCCCAGGGGGGATGGTTATGCCGCAATCCCCTCTTCTTCATTCTCCTCTCAGGATCTTGGGCACACACGCACACGTGCCCGGCGTGAGTTCTAAGCCACCGGGTCCGGGACGCGAACCGTGGTCGACTACGTGGGAGTCCAGCGACATAGCCATTACGCTAACTGCTGGTTCCCAAAATAGTTAACTTTTATTGGAAGTCTGTAGGAAAGATTTTTTAGGACTATGAATGAATGA